GGGAATTGAAATTTGAGAAAATTTAAAAAATATTGTCCGAGTATGGATGTCATATTTCGGAGCTGTTGTTACTTATCGAATAGGTGCAGAAGGGAAGATTCTAACATAGATACTCACAGTTAACAAACTTTCGTCGAGCATCTAAACTTGATCTGAATTATTCTTCCTCTATGAATAGTATCTTTTCCATTTAAATAAGAAAACATTTCCATAGTTTTCTTTTGCTTTTTTATAACTTGTCTCTTAGTGAAATCACATTGAGCAGTTGAAAGTATCTTTCCGATAGGTTTGTCCTCTTTAATTAGTCGAATTTTCAATGGGTTTTGAGTGAACGAAATATGTCACGTATTCTAAACTTTCGACTACTCATCAGATCTATTGTATACTTTTGAAGATCTTGGTGGAATGTTTTTAAAACAATAGTCAAATCTGTCATTTCTTTTTTTCTACCTATACATTGACAGAATCGTTCATAAGCAACGTGACTTCACAAAATTAAAATATGTATATCTCTGCAGGATGAAGTTACCTGGAGCTAATTTTTATATGCAATGTGTATGTTAAATTACTCTAGATATCGTGGAGAAAACAGTGTTATAAAGTTTTTCCAGATGAGTTACCAGTAAAAACCTAGTGTTAGCGACGTGACATGAGAAAGAAGACCAATTGTCACTAGATACATTTTAGCATTGAAAATCTGCAAATTGAGGGAGCATTTGTGAAAATTAAATGTTGCTTTCTGTAGACAACTCTTAAGGCTACAAAACTTCGATGCAAAATCTTTTCTGAGTATGCTTAGATTTTTTGAAAATGTTGGTTTGCTTTTCGTTATTGACGTGACTGTCTATGAATATACCAAAGAAAAAATGTTCTTATAGCCGAGTTATCTTGTAATACCCGTATGGACAAAGAAAAAAAAAAGAAAAAGTATTCCAGCCTTTACCGTCTTGTTTGTACCAGTATTAAAATATACATACGTAGAAGAAAAGAAATGAAAAAAAAAACAAATGATAGATTCGACAACTGTATTAATAATCATCCTTGAGCTTATTCATTTTATCATAATTGTTCATATTTTTTGAAGAAGATCATTTTTTTTTTGATCGAAATCGTTAATTAAAATATTTGCGAATAAAGAAGAAAAGGAAAAGAGTCTTTTTACATAAGCACTTATACTACCTTCCTCAATTGTAAAGAATCATAATATCTGTGTCGCATTTGTAGAACATATTGGTTGCTGGTATCAAATGGAAAATCATAAGATCAAACTGATCGCTTTCATTGTAACAAAGTGTGTTGCAGAGAGAACAGAATACATTAAGAGAACCTTGAGAAGGACATGTTGTCAAGTTATGTCTCTAGTATAAATGTCGCTGATACATAATCATTTAAAGCGATGTTACAAAGTGTGCTTTAAAGAAGACTTTATCAGCAGTGATGTTGTATTCTTATGAAAAAATTCTTGATAATACTGGACAAGCTGTTGTGGATGATGCATAGCCAGAAATTTGGTGTGAGGGACATGTAACAGTTCGTCTAATATCAAGAAAATTATCTGATAAGTCTTTTTGTCTTTCCTTAGACTTTTCTGTTCATCAGGAAATCTGTTAAATGAAGCAAAAATGGGATTAAACTGCCGAAGTCACATGTACTAGATTCATGTCAATATCAACTAAAACTGATAATTTGTTTCACTCACAAGGACTATCAGTACCATTGAAAATGGCAGTTATTATTCTATCATGGCTTATTCACTAGAATCAGAAACATCGAAGCATAATCAACAAACCAACACTATGTTTCAAGTTTTTTTAATTTTCTCTGAAACATCTGAATGTCTCTCTATACTTGGATAGTGAACGATCGAGGACAATAACATCGATTTTTTATGTATTGTATTGCTAATGCTTGATAGAGATCTTGGAAGTCAAATCGAAATAAAGAAACTTTGTTGAAATCCATCGTTTGTAGACACTGATTGAGCGTTTTATAAAGAAAATCACATTGAATACACAATAGGATAGAGTCATTTGTATATTATACATTTTCTCAAATCTGTTATCGTACTTCAGTTTTCGCCCATTATTTTCAAGCTTTTTACAATGGATACGTGAGCTTTCTTTTCATTTCAGCGTTATCAAGATTAATTGATAGACATGATGAAAACAAAACTGATGATTAGAAAGGCAAGCAGAACTTCACTAGTTCATGCATTAAGATAGTACATGGAATACTTAGCATAATGATAAGACAAATAACTCATTCGCTTTCATACAGAATGTTGTACTCTGCTGTCTACTTATATATTTGCACAACTGTACTTTCGTATGTCAGTGAATACACTACTATCTTGCATATATGATTAGAGAAAACCTTTAAGTTATTGTGTTTAGCGTCGTATATGAAAGTACAGATACTTTTGCAGTTATATTGTGTCACTGTACCACCAACCGATTAAGTACAAACACAACAACGTTTTTATCAGCAGATAACCGAAGATAAGTCGCACAAGCTATTAAACTAGATAAGGTAATTATATGGATGAAGAAATTGATTAAATATGTGGAAAAGAAAACGAGCCGTGCAGAAGACAACATATACATTATAGCAAAATTAGGTTCGAACCCTGATGGTGTTAGCTAAACATGACTATCGTCCTTGATGATTGAGAACCATTTAATTTTTTCAGAATAGGACTTCTTCTGTTTTTTCATCTGCTAGTATAGATAACGATGAGAGTTACAGTAGAAAAAGATTGTATCCTACCACAATGTCATTCTTGACGCTTGAGCGGCTTAAAGCGAATGTTGACACAACAGAACACTTTACTCACAATAATACTACACTCAGATTTATAAGAGTTTTATATAATCGATTCGAGTGACATAAAAGTGGATTGTTTGAAAAATATATTTCGGGTAAAAAATAATGCGGGCTTTAATAAGTTAAATATTAATTTATTTCAAAAAACATATACAAAGAATGTTTCATAAATATCGATCCCATTTTTCTTCTTCTTTTTCTTTGTCGTATTTCAAGGTGGAAAAGCATTGATGATATATTTTTGAAGAGTAGCATCTAAACTATCATCTAGCAGATATACACACACTTTGCATCAACTTTAAGAAAATATTACATTAGTAAGAATATTGTAAAAATTTATCAAACCTTTGTGTTTACCTTAAATATCAATATTTTTAAATCTGAAACACATAGTATTGGATATCTGTATCAAAAATATCAAAGTATCATACGTGAATTAATCTGATCGTTATTCCTTATATGTCAAGATAAGAATATAATTATAGTTAAACAGTAACAATCATTCTATTCTTCTAACGTCAAAAACAAAAATTCTCTGTGACACACATTGACTAAGCATAGACCTTCCAAATTTCTATCCGTCTAATTCGAGCATGACATTATGATCCGGTTGTCTCGTATATGTACCCGAAAATAAATTTTTCTTTATTTAAATAACGCACAACAAAAGCGACACAAAAGGAGTACATGCATCAGTAACTGCTATTTTTCCTATTCTTGACAGAAAATTGTTAAAAGACTTTAAAATGTTTTTTGAATATATTTACTAATATAGCTCTTTGAGTAAAATCTCTCTTGGATGATGGTTTAGGTGCTATTCTCCAAAAATATATTACCAATATTTATTCATATTTAAATAGGGCAAACATAAAAAAAACAATCAAAATCGAAACAAAGTTCTCTACAAAAAAAAACAGTGGTTATCTATAATTTAAAGTACTTGATACAAATCGACTGTTAGTTCTTCAATTTTGACGTGGATTAATGAAAGAAACTGGACCCATGGTAACTGTTTTTGCTGGAGATACTGAACTATTATCAGTTGTTCTGTATGATGATTCTGCTTCTATATTTAAGTCAGGTTTTGAATATTCATCATCATTGGTTCGAACACTTATTTTTGGCACCTTTTTTATGCTATCATTGCGTCCTAAATTAACATCGTCAAAAATATGTTTTCGATAAATGGATGATTCTTTTGATAAATGGAGTAGAAAAATATCACAAATAACTGTTCCTAAACCAAATAGTCCAACTATTGAACCAATATTTAAAGTTAATGTAATAAAATCAAATTTTCCAGCTTTACCACTAACAGAAATTATAAAACGAAGACCATGAGCTTTTGATAATGTACGAAAATGTTCTTCATTATATTTCCAAGCAGTAGCATGACGAAAATTGAAACCCTTTGAAAATGGTTCTTCATAAAAAGGTACATCAAGACGAGCAAATGAATATTCAGGTTTACATAATTTTATATTTCGATCTAGATTACAATCCCAATCCAGTTTAATACGTACGACACCACCATAACGTAACATTAAATTACGTTCAGTAATATTTTTTTCCGCTTCACTCATTATATAATCAATACTAAATATAGGACAATCTTTAGCATATTCTGGATGAAAAGTACATGGTACTTTTAAATTATCAACCATATTTTTATGTTTAACCTGGAATATTGAAAATTCAATAAAATTTTTAATAAATATTGTAAAATTAAGAGTTTCTTGAACAAGCATTTCCGATGAAAAATCATCTTCTGGTGGACACCAACCTATAAAAATCATCTCGCAAATAAGAAATGATAATTGGAAATCTTTAAAAAATGATTCTATTAAAGACCTTTTATTCATACAATGACTCCTAATAAATAAACATATGCTTTTGACAGTCATTAAATTGATAAAAAAAATAGCGTTGTTAGCTTGTTCAAGGATAAAGACTATTTGCATTTACGTGATAATTGACTTTTAAGATTAGACATAGTAAAACACAAATCTCATGTTCTTGAACTAGAATAATTAAAATCTATTGAGCTCAGCTATTGACACGAAAACAAACAGAGATGTATTTTGATTAAGTGATATTAGAAATTTTGTCATATATATATTTAGTTAATTTTGCAGCAGCTCAAATTCAAAGTAGCAAGCGATTGTCAAAGTTTATAGAAATTTCACCTTCATCTGAAAAGTTACCGGACTTTCAAACTGCGTCCAAGTTGACATCATTGATAATCATAGTGAAGGGTTATATCTCTATACAGTTAGAATAGTCCATAGTCCTAAGTTATATATAGTTGCATTAAAACTTGATGTTTAGAAAAATGACTTTGCTCTCTGCAGGACAAAATAGTGTAGATCAGTAGGCTTTCAAGAAAATATACAGCACTAAGCATCACTGAATGTTGCAACTATTCATCGAAATAAGATCTTTCTTTAAGGATTAAAAAGGGTAAATTTAGATGTGAACCGAAATTTTACTTTCCATATTATAATCTTCAACTCATTTATTGTTCGAAGATTTTATCTCGATATAATGCCTATTACAAGGATATTGAATAAATGAATCATTTAGATTATTTATACTTGCATATTTTTAATTTTTTCAAATATTTTTTAAATAATGTAAACTCAAAAACTACTACTAAAACATTGTTGTACAAACAGAATCTAAAAATAATGGTAAAGTATGTAAGATAAAAATTTGTACCTCTCCTTCTCCTCACCACCAGCGACAATGGCAAACATCTTTGCAGTAGCTCATCAGACACATGACAGACATCTTAGCAACATTCTGCCTTCACTCTCCTTCCCGCATAACAGACCGTGACAAACATTATTGATATATGATCGAAGACCATATATCAATGATGTCTAGTAATAATGTGTGAGCTACTTTCTTATTGTGTTTCTCAAGGATTAAGTAAAAGAATGGTGATGAAATGTGTTCTTAACTCCGAAAAGCCCAAGGGAGTTTTTCTTGCAACAGAAGGAAGACAACCATAAGCATAGAGCCGATGGAACCTCAGTATGCTCATATTATAGCTAAAACGAACTACCTTGTTCTTCCTCTAGAGTTGCATAACATCCTTTAGCACAAATCTTGGATCTTTCAAAAACTTGAAAGAAAGGAATTTGGAAGTGAAATTTAGCCCTCAATCAGTTTATATGATCCTTAAATTGCTCTGGAATTTTCAGTCACAACGGATGCTTTATTATTGAAATATTGGACGCGGAAAAAAATCAGCAACATTTTGCAAAAAATTCCCAAAATCCGGTTTCTCTTCAACATGCCGTATTCCCAAGAGTAAACAACAATTGTTACTGAAAATTTCAGGGCAATCTAAATAGCATATCAACTGTTTATGAGCAAAATTTCAAGTCAAAATCTCTTTCTTTCGATTTTTTCTTGAGATGGAATGTCCCATAGAAAGAACATTTTCTTTGTGATAGTGTTCTGCGTTAGTCAAATGGTTTAAAATTTACGAGATGGTTTCATCAAATACCTTACCACTATGTTTAACAGTATCGCTTGAAGAATCCAAAGCTGCAGGTCGCTTATATGAATAAAAAAAACTTCAGAAAAGAAAAGTGATGCTAAAAAAATTACGAGTCGTAAAAAGTTCATTGTTCGGTTTAAAAGTCATTTGAGAATTATATTTTCATCTCTGTATGATCACTAAGATCATGTCAGTACGGAAAAAAGTTGGCTTTTACATATAAGCTCTTGTAGTGGAACTGATTGAAATTATTCCAATGTCCCTTGGAAGAGACTTTGGGCTCTTAAGAGTTAAATAATCTCATTATGATTAGCAGTAGCAACGATATCGTATTTCACATTTTAATCTTCTATGGAATGTGCTAACAGCTTTCTCATTAGTTTTTGTTGTTTATATCAAACTATTCCGTACTCATACAAAAATTTCTTGATTAGTTTTGTAATCTGAAAGCAAGCCTACCTGCGTATTCGCATAAACCTTTTGGAATTTTCTTAGCATTTGTTGTTTGATTGACAATATTTATTTGCGGTGATAATAAACATCGACCTGTCCAACGACCATTCATATTTGGTGTAAATGTTTTGTTGGCACAGTCCCTATCACTTTTGCACACGGCTTCTTTAAGTTTTTCACTTTCAGCACATGTAGATCGTGTTTGATCAGTTTGAATAAAACTTGTCATTATAAATATAGCATTGTTTTCTGATGGTGGAATAATATAATCTATTAAAATAAAATAATCATTCGATTTTCAATGAGATCGGATTTTTACGATACCTGCTCCATCAATAATCAGTGTTTTATTTTTTGGCGCATTAACATAACCAATACCTTTTACTTTAAGTGTCACTGATGATATAACTGCTGTATCTTCTTTTTGGTACCCTTTTTCATATATAAGTAAATATATTACAGAATACACAAGAACAAGGATTTGTATAATGCGAAGTAGACCAGCAAATTTTGCACTATGTACTACAACTAATTTTTGTGTTTCATATTCGATAAAAAACTCCGTGAAAGCATGTTTTAAACTTGTTCCAACACGATGACGACTTTTGAAAGATAAGTTTGAATTCATTTCTTATAATGAAATATATTGTATACGTATATTCTAGAATAGAAATAATAATAGTTTCATATTTATTAAGTAAGACAGAGAAGAATGCATTGATCTAGATGAAATATATACTACTCTAAATGCAATAAAACTATTGCAACTACGAATGCAATGATAATAAGGACAAATGAACATCTGTTTTGTCGCTATAACCTTATATATAACGAAAAACAAAGCGTTATAGTAATGAATTATTTGGTGATGACATGTGCTGTTAACAACATAAAACGGTATATTTAGTTGGAGACCTATTTGTTTGCCGAAACACAACCAGTTATCTCTTTTTTTCTGTGCTAGCATTATATCAAAAGAAAAATACCCAACGTATCCCTTGCAACAATGCTTCTAAACTCATTTCTGTTGAAGGATAGAAAATAAAAATAATAGATACAAGGAGCTAAATTATTTCCTTATACTCGATTTTTAGAAGTTTTTCGAAAGAATATTACAACTATTGAAAAGACTTGTGAACTATTTTTCGATGAGACTGAATATTGACATATCAAGACATGTAAACCTAGAGATCAAATAATGAAAAATTCAATGTAGTATAATTTTTTTAAATGATTAATGATTTTGTTTTAATATATGTACGGGAATTTTCGATCTTATATGATCATTATCAACCGATACCAAGACAACTACAGATGTTACAAACAAAGAAACAAACAAGAGAAAGAACTTAAAATACATGTCTAAACATCATAAACTATAAAATTCAATATAAATTCGGTATGTATCATAGATATTGTATAATACGATAAAACAATGTGTAACATAATACACTATGTATAATACTAGAATTTAATCCAATACTGAATTTAGCCTAAAATGTAATACTCAAGCTTTATATTCTACTCAAATTTTGTAATAATGTATGAAGAAATATGTGTAATCTTGAGATATCAGTCAATATCAAAATAAGGAAAAATGTTTTGCAGTATAATTTTAAATGATTTGTTTATTTATTCTAATATATCAATGAAAATTTTCGATCTTATACGATCATACCTATACCAAGACAATAAACAGATGTTACAAATACAATGAATTATTTTAAAAATTATACTACATTGAATTCTTCATTATTTGATATTGATTCAAATCTCAAGATTGCACATATTTCTTCTACATTATTACAAAAAACTAGAGATTGAGACCAGAATTTTGTGCCTCATCCAAATATGGGCTCAGATATTGTAAACCTATTTTTGTCCAAGAGTAGCGAGATAATCTTTGAACGTTCTGAAAAATTCATTTGGGTTGCGAACAAACAGGCATTAGCGATCTCTGTAAATCCTTTTGTAAAGGTACCACAAATGGTTTTAAATTGGTGGTTTTGTAAAGCGAACAATTTTTCAAAAACTATTATATTGAACTAAAATGTAACTTTCACATAAGTGAAACTATAAGCATTTGCATAAGAGGTACATCTACCTAAAGCGGATTGTGATCAAAAAATCGATTTTTCAAAAATGTGATTGATCGAAAAACAACAATTTAAGTATTTTATCAGAACATAAAAATAAGCTTGATTACCACATTTCGATGAGCAAATGTTGCTCTATAAGCTGATATGTGAAGAAAGGTTTCAGCATTTACTTTTGAATACCAATAGTAGAAATACGAAAATGTACAAAAAACAGGTACACAATTTACGAGATCATATTTAGAAGAGAAACAAAATTCTGTTCATGAAACATAATTTTTCACTTGTTTAGAATCCTTTTTGGAGAGTCAAAAATGAGCAAACATTTTGTCAAAAAACTTGTTAATATTTTGTTATCTTTCTGAATTGTATCCTTACATTGAAATTCTATGTCAATAGCAACAAATTTTTTTTTTTCATATATACACTTCAACATCTATACATCAATGTTGCATTCTCAAATATTACTCTTTTTATTCTATTTCAAAGCTTTTGCATGTATATTCTTCAATTTCTACAGCTATAAAACATGAAACCTTGACAACAACTGGCACTGAGTTCTATCATTAGTTTTATAACTTCATATGTCTACTTCTTTGTATACATTTTTATTCTTTTATTCAATCTTCTATAACTCTATAACTCAATTTTTAGCTATCAATTTCTAATTAGTCTCGTTTATTCTCAATCATTATGTTTATTTGTTGTACACAAATAACATTATCTTCTTTCGTAAAATTATTCCACGTTTTCTTGTTTATACTTTTTTTTATTTGTCTACAGATCTTTAATGATATATAAATACCAAAATTAGTATCGTTATCTTATCTATTTGATCATTAATTTATTGGTTTCGTTACTAAGTTTATTTCTAACAATGGCACCTGTTAATCAAGGACGTAAACTGAAAGATTCATCGAATGATACAAGAAGTTCTCTTCAATAGTACATTAGAAAAATATGTGTTGCAAAGACAACAATGTTCACATGTATGATCTCATGCCTGTCAAGTTCGTTAACACTTAAAGAAAATCAAGACAATCAAGAATTCAGATTTAATAATTCGATTGTATGGAAACCATCGTAAGTATCCGAATTTCATTAGAACAAATGGTTTTGTTGAATGCATCATTCGTTAATGAATGTTTATATTATTTAAGTCAATGTGTGCATACAACAATCGAAACATTTATAAAACGAGAAAAACAAAGTCTCTTCATCTTCCAATGTTTTCTTTTCTTCTTGTCTTTTCAAGAAAACTGTAATAATATTTAGCCCAACACTATATTGAAAAATTAAATATTATTAAATCGTTTCATTACATACCAAGTTCGAGATGTCTTGATCATATCTTTTCAGTTTATATATTAATCATTAGATAATCTCCCCAAAATCATCATCATATTACTTATTCATATTACTCCATCATTGATTAATAACCTTAAATAAATCTCTTTTTTATTTATCTGTAAAAAAAAGAGTTATCAGTTGTTATTCATAAAGATAAAGTTTATAAATATTCTTCAAAACCTATCATTTTTGAGTGTACCTGTGAAAAATTGCAGCGAATTCCCACTCTTATACAATAAAATGTTACATGTTGTTTTTTTGCTATATATATCAGTTCAATGTGCCATACTCCCAATTCTGTTAGGTGGAAAAAAAGAGATTGTTCTCAGTGGCACATGAGGTACTATATGTGCATGCTTTATACGTCATCATGGCCAAAAAATGTATTGGAAATATAGGATGTTTTCATAAAATCTTGAGATGCGAAAAAACTAATGTATATGCAGATAGAGAGTAACCTCTAGATGAATATTTTTATATGTCCCTTGAGTATTTATGTCAATCTTTCAAATGATATACTATTGAATAGTATCTTCTTGTGCAATGATACAGGGTGTCTCATAAGTTGTGGCAGATTTTTTTAAATCTAATTTTTGATGATAATGAATACAAATTAAACTCAAACTTATACATATGACACGGCTTAGCATGTACTTTTATTTCATATATTTTATTTGGATTAGATCATTGAATATACAAGAAAATAAACAAATTCAATGAACATACCCTCCATTGACAAATATCAAAAGTCTGCATTTTTTCGCTACTTTGTTAGTTTTTTCTCCAATTACTATTCCTATGGGAGTAAGTTTTTACAAAAGAAATCACACATTCTGATAGCACTTGAAATGCTCTATGATATTATGTATTAATACAGTGTCTTAAATTTAAGTAGCGAAAAAAAATGCAAATTTTTTGGGCTAGTCGATTCGGAGTATATTCATTGTATTCAATTTTATTTCAATCTATAAACGCAAGAAAATAAGTAAATAGACAGGGTGATAGAGAATTTTAAGCTCTATCAGAATCTATAGTTACTTTTTCATACAGATCATTCTATACGGATGAAAAATTTTTAAAACTAGTTTTGATGACGAAGGAAAGATCAAGTCTGGGAATCTGGACATGAGGGTGCCTTCGTTGTCTTCAATTTATTTTGGTAATGAAAAGGTCAAAACTAAAACCTAATTCTACAGAATGATAGAAAACTCCGCGAGCTTTCAGAATATGTAATTAGTTTTAAAATAACTTATTTTTATAGTGACAATATATGAGAAATACAGAGTGAAACTTTTGTCGGGGTATATATATTGTAACACATTGATGGTGTGCTTATTTTGCACATGTACCAATTTCTTTATTTTTTTGTATATCCAATGATTAAATTCAAATAAAATATATGAAATAAAAGTACATGTTAAGTTGTATGATACGTGTAAGTTTGAGTTTGATTTGTATTCATTATCATCAAAAATTAGATTTAAAAAAATCTGCCACAACTTATGAGACACCCTGTAACAATATAGACATGAGAATGTGAATATAAACCGTTCGTAATCGATCAACCAGATATTTTATTTAAAAAAAATGAAAAACATCCGTATACTAATCTAATTCCTAATATATCTTATTTAAGAATCACATATTTGTTTTTCATCTTTTTTCTTTAATTCATCAGGTTTCTTAGAAATTTTATCAATCATTACAATTTATTTTTGTTTTTCATTGAGTGAAATTTTTAATTTTTCTAAAGCTTGAAAATTATTCTTCTCGCACTTTTTCTTGTACACTTCCTTAAGGTAAAACTTGATTATTATTTAATTCATCAAAATAGTTCAAAATGCAATCATTATTCTTTGTATTTTACTATGCATTCGACGATAGCTTAACTGAACATATAATCAGCAGATCCTGACTCATTAACGAATCATATTTATATCGTTGCGAAATATTTATTTTCACATTCGCATGTTTATATTGTTATTATTACACGAGAAGATATTATCCAGTAGTATATCATTAGATAGATTGATATGGATACTCAAATATCATATAAAAACATTTGCACATAGATTATTTCTTATGTAGATAAACTAATTTTGGCACATTTATATCATTATTATGGAGCCTAAATCATGAACAGATCACACTGCTACTTTATTAGCATTCATTACACAGTTTTTCAAACGATCGACAAATTACTATATTCTTCGACAGTGCTTTGGTCTTGGCACAGAGAAAACTTTGATAATCGATAGAATGAATGTACTGACCCATTTCATAGTTCTAAATCATTAGACATGCTATTTTGATATATTTCATATTGTACAACATATCAAGATGAATCCTGATCAAACAGTAATAAAACATGTTAATCATTTAAATTCCATAATAACATCATCAATTGAATTCTTTTCTTTCACTTAACGAAAAAAATATTAGATGAAGTTTCATCAATAATACCGTAATACACATTGAATATGTCATTATGCGTTTTGGAACATTCTGTAAAGTATTGCTTTATAATCGTATAAAGAAAACAATTTATCTAGTAGATTATTGTTTGCATTGCATAAAATTAATAAACAACCACTTAAAAATATAAATCTTTTGCAATAAAAACAGAATATTATCTGCATCAATCTAATTTTTCATGAATTTCATACAAATGAAAATTGACGTATATGTACACATCCATGATATTCTAAATAGGATGTCAATGATATAGATATAAACAAGTGCATGGTCTCTATCTTATTCTGTCATGTGTTGATACATCTACTATCTATTTTATATAGCAGCAGAAAATAGAATTTTCTACGAACTTATTCTTATTGATTGAATAGAATAGAATAGACTAGAATAGAATAAAATTCAAATTTTATTTGATGATGAAACGAACCATTCTAATTCTTTCTAGAACTAGTATATATCCATCTAATCGAATATAATATAAACAGTTTTAATATAACAAATGACAAGAAAAGAATATTTTTATCTTGGATAAAAATGTTTATTGTTTTAACATTTATTTTTATTTTTCATTCTTGTTTCTCTAGTCATAAATCATATTTTGATATTGAAACATGTGATAATAATCGTTGTCGATTACCTTATTGTTATTGTTCAAATCAAACTATACCAGGTGATTTAACAATACGTAATACTCCACAATTCATTGCAATAACAATAAATGGACCAATAGATGATAAAACATATAAATTATTGAAAGAGATATTTTTTTCAAACAAATATTATAATCCAGATGGTTTGTTTATTTATTGATTTAATTAATAAAATATGATTTCGTTTTTTTTTTTTTTTTATGAATATTTTTCAATTATTTAGGTTGTTCTATTAGTGGTACTATTTTTCTTAAAAGTCATATTGAAACAAATTATTGTTTAGTTCGAAAAGTTCTAGAATATGGAAATATTGAATTAAGTATATCATCAAATTCAAGCGAGTAAATATTTTCAATTGTATTTGTTTTATTATTATTTTTATCTAAATAATAAATATTTAAATTAGATGTCCAACTGTTGATTGTCGTATAAAAGAAAAACATGATAAAAGTCCATATGTACCTTGGCGTTCATATCGTTTTTATAATGAAACAATTGATTATCGTCGTAGAATTGCTAAATTAACTGGTCTTCATTCATCATCAATTGTTGGTTATCGTTCACCTAACTATGAAATAAATAATAATCAACTTCATTGGCATATTTTACGAGAACATAAATTTTTATATGATTCAACATTAATAACACAAGAATGGGATGTACCATATTATAATCAACAACAACCAACATCATTAACATGGCCACATACAATGGATTTTGCAGCTAATTATGATTGTTCACAAAGTTGTTATACACAATCATTTCCTGGACTTTGGACAATTCCAATACATATGTATCAAGATTTACAAGGACGAAATTGTACAACAATTAGTAGTAGTTATTGTCATATATTACCTAGAAAAGATAAATTTTTTCAATATCTTAAATATAATCTTAATCGTCATTTACATTCAAATCATGCACCATTTATAATGGCATTTGATAATTATTGGTTAAATGAACCATATACATTATGGAGAATAGAAGGATTAAAATTATTTATTGAACATACATTACATTATCATTCAAATGATGTTTATTTTGTACGTATTATTGATATTATTAATTGGATGAAACAACCAATTGGACTTGAACAAATGAAACAAAAATATTTATCAAATATAGGAATAAAATCTATTTGTAATCAAAAAATTAATATTGACAATGATCAAGAATGTTTTAATGAAAAACAAATAGAAACTTGGAAATCTAATATGATAACAAATAGTCAATCATTATTAAATTTGTTTGATACTGTTGCAGAACCATTATTTCGTTCAAATATTGTTTTTTATTCAGCAATTGGCTTTTGTAGTTTTGTTATTTTAACTTTTATATATGATCGATTTTATATTTCTTAGAGGTTAAATAAAGAATATTTATAAACAAAAGTCTCTTATGAGAATAAGAACCTTTTAAAATCAATCATCTTTCTTTTATCATAATGAATTTCATTTATTGAAAAGATACCATTAGTATATTCATATAAATAGATGGTTTCTTATATAACAAGAACAACATGAATTGATCTTGATTTCTTTACAGTTTTTTTGAGTCATTTAATATAGTCAAGAAATAATCTAAAAAGAGAATATTTTTATTTATTCAATAACTTTATGCTTGGCACTATTGTCATTCAATCGGTGATGAACAATAGTAAAAGAGTCTCTTTTGATTTTCTGATCTTCGCTTGTTGAGATAGGAGTATTTTACTGGTTTTTTTGCCCTATGAGCGTATCGACGTTTGAAAACTCAGATTAGCAGATTTCCAGCCATAGTTTTGTCCGTAGATATGTTATTTAGTGACTGGAAACACTATAAAATTTGAACCAAAACGAACATATCCTAGCTAAGATGTTTGCATTTTAAACGAACACTTCTTTTGAACTGTTTTTTAAACGAAGGACATTTCTGTGACAAACTCATGTCTCAATACTGAAATATTTGTCCTAGCTCACATTTTAGAGTGTTTCGAATGACTATAAGGCCTATTTGTGAATCAAATCTCAGCTGATAAATCGATCATGCGAGGCTTTCAGCGGTTCTATAGCCATAGAATAAAAATCAAGTGAAGTGCCCATAGCTCAACAAATGAAAATGGGAAGATCGAAATAAACGAGACTGTTACACTATTTATCATGATTGATCAATTAGCAATAGTATCAGACGAAAAGCAAGTTGAAAGTTGGGAATATTTTCTCGTGTGTTGTTTTTGACATGGTATTATTTGTAGTTGTAAATATATGAAAAAAATTTGTTTTTACACATGACAGAATTTGGAATATTAAATATGTCAGGATAAGAGATACTAGAAAAGCTAAATCTTGCACAGTCAACTAGTCTCATTAACAGCTTTGTTTGTGCAAAGTTTGATGTGAACGCTCAAAAATCGGTTTACTACATGATCTGGCGTTGACCAGAGCTTTTTGTTGAAAAAAACAGTCAAATTTCAATAAATCAAGAGTCAAGGGTCTGAAAATCAAACCTTTGTAGACTTTCCCATCACTGACTAGTACTCATCAAATGAACGTCCTCTTGATCGAGAAAGCAATTTGACATCTGCAGATGTTCCCTCGGGATCGAAGTTTCGATTCAGCAGAGTCAGTCCTATTTATTTATTGCAATAAACTTAAAATAAATCTCTTTAGAAATCATAGAAACTCTGAGAGAAAAAAAACATCCATAAAAATTTTATATATATTCGTTGCAGTATAACATTCTGTCGTGGAATTCAACTAAAGCTATTCCACAATATCAACCATATGAATTCGTTTGAAGAAATGATTAAACCAATTAAATTAATCGTTATTAAAATATGTTTTTTTTTATTTTAACAAAGAATAAAAACAAAAAAATTTAAAATATTTTATTGTATTCTTCGTAAAAGAATTTTCTTTGCTGCTTGATGTGCATGTTTTTCCATTTTATCTAAAAATTAATTTCAATTTTCAACCAAATAATAGAAAAAAATGCTTCATAATTTTACTTACAAATTTTATGTTGTCCTTGCATTGGTAATTTAAAATAAAGTTCTTGTGGATTTTCACATATGAAAACAAATTCACTATCAGATTCACCATCAGGATATTGTTCAAGATATGTAGTACGATCTAAACAATCAACAACATCAACACATCCAAGTAAAACTGATGTTGGATATTCAGTTGGAAAATCAATTTCATTATCATCTAGAATAAATATTAATATTATATTAATGAAATTCATTTGCTTTTCTTTTTCATACCATTATTCCGTGATTTATAAAATTCTTCCATATTTAAAATAGTTTCTTGATCAGGTTCTTTCGCTGCTGCATGTATCCATAGACGTCCACGATGTGAAGTATACCAAGATCGACCTTCATGCCTAAAATACATACAAAATAAAAATTTGATTTTAAAAATTGACTTGCTACTCAATAACTCGACAGTTACAACAGTTAGCAACTGAACGTTTTCAGCAATCAAAAGAGAAGAATCTCAAGCGTACTTTTCAGAAATTGGATGAAAACGATGTTTCGTTTTTAAGAAGTTTTGATAAAAAGTCAAAAAAGAAGGAAATGTGTCAACTCGTCACGTTTTTTCTTGTCTGGTTTTCGTAACGAATTGACAGTACGAAAGCCCGTGACAGAGCTTTCGTAACGACAAAATCAGGGCTTTCGTAACAAAAAATCAGGGGTTTCGTAACATATTTTACAGGGTGATCGTAATTGGTGTTTTAATATGTACCATTACAGAGCTTTCGTAACGAAAAGCATGTCATTTCCGCAAACTAAGCCCAGCTATCATCCTCATCCTCATTACGAAATCCCTGTTGCTTCGTTGCGAAAGCTCTGCAACTGTTACGAACACTCTGTATTAATCGTTACGATCTCCCTGTAAATTTCGTTACGACATCCCTGTATTTTTGGATATCCCTATTTTTGGTGTTACGAAAGGTCTGATTTTTGCTGTTTGTTCAACTCGTCACGTGACGAGTTAAGACGTTCTCAAAAAGAATCTCAAAAATCAGCAGAATTCTATATAATTTCACTAAATAGATATACGATTTTATATGCTGAATATTGAAATATGAGAAGATAATTATCTGATTCGTGCCTTGAGCTAGGAAACTGAAGCTCTTCTTTCTGAAACATACGTCAATATCAAAATTACCTTGAAACCAGAACAGCATCCTCATACATATTTTTTGAATGTTGTCTGAATATAATGTGCTTTCCAATAATTTTCTCATATATATTCTATCAAGAAAAAAGTCGCTCTGAGTTCTCCTTTTTCGATTCATGAAAACATCTAATCGCTAGTTTGCCCATTATCGAGTTATTGAGCTTACATTCATGCCTCCTGAATTCTAATGTGAACATAAAATGTTATACAGTATTATAAAGCTTCAAAAAACATGTTTTGTAATTAACTTTATGAATTGTCAATCAGCAAAAAGCCAACATTTTGTTTCAACGCTTCCTTTTTTTGAAATATCTATCGGACTTAATAAATCAATAATTTTAAGAAAATTGAAATTTTTTAAATAAAATATTCTCTACCTTTACGAAATAGACATTTTTGAGGTTTAGTTGTGTGAAATACATCAATGAAAAGGTCTACGGATGATTCATATATAAAACAAAGAATCTCAAGAATAAAAGTAATATATGCATTGTAAACGTCATCATGTCACAAATCTACATAATATTTAATACGGATAAAATATCTTTAGTAACTTATACAGTAACTTATCAAAAAATAAATAAATGTTTAATTGACAGTATGTGTCAAAAACATGTACATTGTTTAAAATTAGCTTTTGTATATACACTCTACTTCCTTTTTCTATTATTCCAATACCATGCTATATAAATTACTTTTCCGCACATCATACTGTCATGAAAGAAACAAAAAATCATGGTTTCTTATATCACTCAATTGCCTTTTGCTACTATCCGGTCATATGAGTCACCAAAACTATCCTGCATCAAGAATAAGACACTTGATGGATCTAACCATACCATCACCATATGAGATAAGCTAGTAGTCGATGTAGAAGATTATTTTATTAGCAGCTGCTCTCGCCTCACTGTGAAGAGTAAAAGATTTATTAAGTATGTTTACATTTTAATTCCACGAACTAATAATGAAGCCCATGGTTGATGCATAGTAAGACACATTCCATCATCTGTCATTTGCATTAATTCTCTATCTTGAATACGTAAACGTTCTCGATCATTATCTTCAATAGTCATTTGTGATAAATTTGTTAACGATGATTGAACATTTGTTTTCTGTTCCACCCACTAAAATTTTATTTTAAGACAATATTTTATTTGTATTTGTTTATAAATATAAGACAAACTTGAGGAGCTAACGTAGTTCCGGGTAAATTAGGATTTACTAGATCACTATCATCCTCATCCCAATTAGGTATTGATTCTTGTTGAAAACGATCACTTTCTAATACATATTGATCATTATCATGAACAGCTCGTGCTTCAGTATAACTAAAATCATTTATAATTAATATTAATAATTTGTTCTTATTCAAATTTGATGTGTCTTATCTTGAAGGAAAAAAAATTCGATGAAACCTTTTATTGGTAAGTTCTAATCAGTGCGAGTGTATAGATTTCAAGGAGACTAGAATTCACAGAAATTATATTGTCAATAATCTTTCTAATGGAATTCATCCGTGTATTCTAACTTACATATAATACTTACGACAATATAAAATGTGAGCTTTTATCAATGCAATAAATTCTTTAAGGTTCGGGCTCGAGTATTTCTGAACATTGTTAGTTTTTTTTTTGGTATGCCTGTAGACTTTTGATGTTTGAATCATTTATGCTACTATGTATAGATCAACCCTAATCAAGCCTGAAATCATTTCATTTGAGCCAATTCTACTTTCATTTATTAATTGACTGACCAAGATTGCAGTCAATGACTGAATCTGAACGTTCAAGTTCAGTACAAGGCTAAATATTATCTAATCAATCAAGCTTCATAGACTAAGTACTATGTGAGAAGACATAGAATTGAAGTAAGAACTAATAATCTGTTTTTACTATTAAGATAACACTTACAGTCGATCATTGGGTTGTTCAGCTTCATTATAAACGCGTCTTCCAGCAAAGTCAATAGTAATCTTTTGATTTTTTGAATTTTTCTTTTCATTCATTTGTGCTTGAAGTTTTTCAAGTTTTATTCGTTGTTGTTTACTAAGCCATTTATTATTACTATCAAAATAATCAGCAGCATCATCGATAACTTGTGTTCTTTGTGCACTAAAATTAAATTTTTCGATCAAAAAAAGTTGTTTTTTTCTTCTAAAATTTATTAAGAACCTTGTTCGATCGAATTCAATAAGTTTATTTTTAACTGCTACGGCTTTTGCAATATCATTTAGTGAAGACTGTGGTGATTCATCGGTTTTATTGGATATATTTTGTGCTTCATGTTCACGAAATGGTTTTGATAATAATTGTTGCTCAAGTTGTTTTCCTTCTCGTGTACCTGATATAATCAATTGTCTTTCATCACGAGTACATACCTAAGTAGAATAGATATTTAATGCTCAAAGAAGTTTTTTTTTCTTACTACTTACTAAATTACCACAGAAAAAACACGGGCCCGATCCTTCTTGTTCACATACAATCCGTCCACATTTAAGACAATTACTAATAAGTTTATGTTTTGATGCTTGACATTCACATGTACTACGACCTAAAAATAAATTGAATAATATATTCAATTTATAATAATATTAATACCTGGCAATCGAACGGTCATCCGTTCTTTGCCTGCATTACTAAACACATTAACATATTTGGATTTTTTCTTTTGTGCTGTAGGCATGGTTTTAAAAATCTAAAATTGAATATTCTATAATCTATAGCGTAAAAGTCTTTACACGAAATAGTTGCTGACTTTTAAGCCGTTAAAAAAAGCAAAGGTTTAGAGCCACAGTCAGAATTTTCGCTATTTTCACATATATGTGTTTAGATTTTCCTTCTCGACGGGGAGGAGGTATGTTCAGGTTTCAATAAAAATTTCGTCAGCAGTGGAAATTTCCATTCTAGCAAAGTAATCCATTAAAAAAACCAAGCAGCAACCTATAGAAAATTACCAGGAAATTTTGGTAATATCCAAAAAATCCTGCAATATAGTCTCTGCATATATCTCTAATGATAAGGAGATCTCCACGAATAAGGAAAAATATTGGAAATCACCAGAAAATTCCAGTAATTTCCAAAATTTTCACTTATTCTTGCGACTTTGTCTTCTTTTCATAGTAAAAATATATAAAATCATACTATGAAAACAAGACTCTACTCCAAGACTAAGTAGAAATTTTGGAATTTACTAGGACATTTCCGAAACATCCATTGATTCATGGGATAGAGTCTCTGTTTCATCGTATGAATTTGTATATATATTCATAGAGTATGTGGAAGGAAATTACTGGAATTTTGTACAAAGGATTGATTTTCGAAATTGTTCGTTTCTATTGCTGTGATGGTAATTACGATAATTTTCGAACTTTCCAATTGGTTTAGTATTTCTATGGAAGTACTTTCTGAAATTGGATTATTTATGAGAGAGATTTCTTTTTTTGGAAATTTAAACACTGCTGGAATTCTGTATTAAATGAGATACTACAATAAGCGAAATCTTATGTATCTAAAGAGATAGTTTCTATAGAAACCGGCATTTGTCAAAGATATCATTGTTTTAAAGTCTATCAGAAAAGTAAATAGCATGCTTTGTATTACAAAAGTGAGCCATGAAAAGCTGTTTCATATTTTGAATTTGATAGGTTTCAATTGAGATAAAACATTGAACAAAATAATATTCGGTACAACCAATATTTTGAAATAATCTGATGACAGTTGTCCAATCTTAGCCTAGAAACAAATTCTCAACACAAAAAAAATTCTTTCGAAAAAGAAACAGTAGACTTCAATGTCTAAATGTCTGCTAATGCTTCATCGAATCCGTCTTATCAAATTTGGGCATCTGTTTGTTATTTTAGTTCCAATTTTCATGTGAATAATCGAATACAAATATGCTTTAATGAAAAATCTGACTATCGGTGAAAAGATCCTTATTCAACTCACTTTGAGATCATTTTCTATTAGTTCTAATTGAAATGGATATATTTATTTTTAAACCAATTACACTATCTCATGTAGAATTTAGCGGTTCCGGTTCGGTTCCCATAACATCACATGGAATTTAAACCATTAACTCATCAGATAAAAGAATTTTTCTATTTATATCATGATTTAATGGTTCGAATTCCAAGTAATTTTGAAAATACGGTTCCAGTTCGAGTCTTGGTTCTAGGGTTTTTGGAACGACCCAACTCTACCTCCATGTAATATCGTAAAAAGAATCTGAAGTCTTTGAATTTGCTATAATAAAATGTCACAACTTTGCAAGAAATCTTCATTCACAAAATCTATTCCCAAATTATTTATTTAGATTTGTTGAAATTCACATCTTAGTAGCAAATCTAAGCAAATAATTCAAATATACAGAACTCAGTTCTAAACTCTAAATTCATCTCAAATCTGTTGCACATTGACTTCGGTGATTATCAAATTCCACTTCAATCATTTTTTTTGTTTTACATATCTAATCGTTGATATCAATAACGAAGAGTTCGGTGAGAAGTTGCAATAATCATCTATAACATATGAAAAAAACTACATAAAATCTAATAAACGTAAACATCTAGTTATCTTCTATTCAAAAAAATAAAGAATAAAGACACAAATACAAGAAAAAGCCAGGATAATCATGAAAACGTTCTAATAATAACAGAGCTTCAACAGCTCAATACCGCTGTTGTTCACGTTTAATTCTCTCAGCATAAGTTCTTGACACAATATTCCATGCATCCATATAACGATCCGAACATTGAGTTATACATTTCTAAAACTAAATGGTAACGACACTACGAAAAAAAAACTAATCCGTTCAAACCTGCTCTGAACTCGATAATGAACTACCAGGTTTTTGAACGCAAGCCTTGAAACATTTATCAGATAATTTCTTAAATTAAAAAGAAAAACAATTCAAATTAGAATAGGCTTTTTTCTTTTCCCAACAAAAATTTTACTTGAAGAAGTTCTTGAGCATTTTGAAGAGCCAATTGTTGTTGTACTGAAGCCATTATTTGTTGTCGTTGATTACTATCAAGTTTTTGTGTATCCAAACTCATCTTTTTCCTTGTTTTTTTTTGTTTTGTTTATCAAAAATCTTAAATACGTTGAATTACATTTATCTGTTCATTAAAATTTTAATTAAAATATTCAATAACATGAAAAAATAAATAATGGTAAAAGCAAAACATCATAACGTTGTTCGTTCATATACGAATTAAATATCACATTTAAAAAGAAAAAAAAGCAACAAAAAAATTAATCGTATTGTTGTTGTGAAATCTGCATGGCTAATCGAGGTTTATTTGTTTTGATTTGTGGAAATAGTTCCATATCTCCATGTTGATCATAATCATTATTCTCATTAAGAGATGATGTTGATGAAAAAGATGATAAAGATGAAACATTGGCATTTTGTTTTTTACCAATGAAATCTTCATCATCATTATTATTATAATTAGTTGATTTCATCGTTTGAAGTGCAGGATAATGTTGAATTCTAAAATGAATAATAAGTTTCTATTATTTTGTTTCCTTTAATAAAAAAAAAAAGTTATTGTGATAGACAGAAAATTTCGAGTGACAAATATTGTTGTGCTAGATTTAAATAAACTTACACACAAACTTAAACCATTATGATAACTGTATGAATTAATAAATGAAATCAAATCTGATTTAGATTAAAATATATAATTACTTACTGATTATTATTAGTTGAATTAATAAAATACTGTTCAATTAATTCCTTTAAATTTTCTAATGTATTGCGAAAATCAGTATTACGATCACCTATATGATAATGATACATAATCTTAAAGAATAGAATTATTTATTTTAGATGCAATATTTTTTGTCTAAAAAAACCACAAAATAAAAGACTTACTTGACCAATATTTCGATTGAGTAAATAGAAACCATATCGAAAAGCACTTAGATTAGTTGTAGGATACAGAGGAAATCTATGGAAGAAAAAAATTTCAATGATAATTTCGATTTATATGTTTGAAGAAATCTCAAAATAAATAAATGCTACTTTTTAGTCATAATAGAGGTGATACTAAAATTTGACAATCTTTTTCTTAGTCGCTTCTCTTCCCGTTGCTAAAATTCGATTTCGGTGTGATGAATGATGATTTCCACGAAAATATCTAAAGATGCTCGGTCTTTGGAAATTCACTATTATAAAAAACAGTTTTCATCGCTCCAAACCTTGCCGTTTCGAAGATTTTCAAAGACCAAGATACACAGAACACCTTGCTGCTTCCAATGAGTGGAAAGGACTTTTTTTTATTTTACTTTTATTTTGTTGTTAAATCCCTCAAAATCTTGAAATACCCAATGTCATAAGCAAGATGTTCTAGAATACCCATGGTTGCCTGCATATTTAGAGTCAAATAAAACATAGAAATATATCAATATGGATAGATAATATGTTGCAGAACAAACTTAAATTTTGTAAAACTTACGTTATTAGAATTTTATGAGCACGATATCGGTAGACTGACATTGATAGTTTTAAAATATGTATTAGTACCGAAGCGTAACTACGTTACCTCTATATATTTCTCACAGAGATTAGACCAATACAGTTCTAGAAAAACATTAATCAATCCTATCTTTGACTGATGGTCATAACTTGGACTACAAAAGTAATACAAATAACAAAAGGAAAAGTTTTATTTGTTGAAACGATAGGATCAAGCCGAATCGAGCCCGATCTACGATTCATTCGTATTCTTACTACCAATTCTATGATACATCGATGAGTTCAGGGAACAGTCGGCAGATTTTTATCGTTTACTATTATAGATATTTTTATCTTCATAATATTTTATCATTATAAGTTTCTAAAGAATCAGATATCATTCCACAATGCATTTTCTACTTGTATTCATGCACCCACACCTGGTCTCATGTTGTTTCATATGTCAGAAGATTATTGGAGAGAAATCAAGGAAAATTCATCAAAAAGAAACTATAGATATTTTCTCCTTACTCATTTATTTCTAAACTATAATCATATATTTTAATTGCTGATGTTCCATGATAATCAATAGGAAATCTCAATGGTAATTGAATAAGTTGTGAAATAATAAGAAGTAAATGTGAACAATATCCAACAGCTGCCGCTATTTCATGATCGTGTTCTCGATCTAATGTATAGATATATAAAAATATATATCACTATAATAAAAACAAAACTACAAACACAATCCAGATTGATAGATTTTAGAATCTGCTTGGGGTAATTTAATATTCGCTATATAATATTCATTTTGATTATCATTATCAATGGGATAAATGTAATGATAGATTTCATTTATGATTTCTTTTTGTCGATAAGAGATTATTTGTGTTAAAGTATGAAGAGTAGATCTTTTCAAATACAAATTCTTTAATTATAAATAAAATATTCATATATGTCATACTTTGATTGATTTAAATTATTATTATATAAATTAATCACTTCTTGTTCAACAATTAATTGTGATAAATTATGATTTAATTGTTTTTCTTTTGAAAAGAAAATAAACAACAAAAATAGAAATAAGTGAAAGAATAAAATTAATATACTTCTTTCTTCAATGTTCTTTTGTTTTTGTTGATTAGCATTTAAACGTTGTTGATATATATATGTTTGAAAATATAAATATTTTTTTAAATTTTCAATATGTAATTGACGTGATTCACGTTCTCTTATCTTTTAAAAAAGAAAAAGACTATTATTTCAATATACAAATAAAAAATATATTTATACTTTTGATAGATAATCTTTATTTGCATCAACAAATGCTTGTAGTCGTTGTAAATATACTAATGATGCTTGTTTTTCAGTACGAATTGCATGAATAATATTATTCATACTAAATTTAAGATTTATTACGTATAAACATGATCAAGTCATAATGAACTTACCGTATTATACTTAATTTATTATATGATTTAGTAAATGAAATACGTTTTTTCTTATCGGTTGATATAAATTCTACATCATTCTCTTGAATATTAGTTTTATCATCAGTATCAGTAAATCGATAACCAAACATTTCAAGCCAAAGACTATTATTATCTTTATTAATTTCATTTTTCTAAAATACAAAAAAAAAGACAGATCCATAAATTTGAATTGATTTAATTATAATAAATATTTTACTTTACCTGTTCATCAGGAATAAGAGACTCATCAAGATGAATATCATATTCAAGAAATAAACGAGAATGATTTGAAGATGTTATCCATACACGCATGAAGAATTCTAAATAAATTCGATTATTTAAATAACTCTAGAGTAATAATTTCTGTTTGGAAACTAAATTTAAAAAAACATTGAAATAGAATTTTTATTATCTGGAAATGTGTGAAAGTCTTCTCGTTCAAAACATCTATGGCTTTTGGTAAAACAACTATGTTCTAATGCAAGTATTAGAAGAGACTTGGAATCTTCGATCATGTCTTTCGAAAGATTTTTGCGCGTTTTAAAGCTTTTGAAAAATTGGCTATTCCTTTTTTTCATCTTCAACTTCGGATATATAACTCACATATCTTGCACAGAAGTTTAAACAATTCGAATGAAAAAAATCTATTTATTTAACGATTTTTTTTTCAAACACGGTTAGTTTTCAATCAGAAAAACTGAAACTCTTCCTTGATGGTTTGAGATAAAAACAATCTTTTGTTTTTTTGTTTGGAAGTTTTAAGTGAGAACAAATTTTAATTCGACCAGATTTCTTTTATTTGAATCTTGTGTTGAGAAAAACAAGATTTAGTACTATGTGATTACATTTTTTTTGCGTTTATTGTAACACCAAGTCTACCAAATTGCTCATAAAAAATACTTAGAAATAAATTTCGAAATTCTATTCAAGGAAAAGCTGCGCTCAGATGTTGGTTTTTTTTCAAGCTATTCTGAACTCTACATCTCTGTTCGCGATGGAATCTTAGTGTTCTTCTGGAGATCATAAATGAATTATAAATAAGTTGTAACTTTCATTTAGTAAAAAATGTCAGACTACAATTTTACCAAAAGTGTTTTTCACTAGGACAACTATTTTCGGAGAATTTCTACCTAAACGAGCCGTTCTAAGAAGGAAGCTACCCGACTTATAGACAATATTTTCGATCGAAATACAGTTATTTGATTTTTTGGCAAATACCTAAAGCTCGATCGAAAGTTCAATTTAAATGGTCATTACTCAACTACAAAGACGCATGGATACGAACGTTTTTAAGGTTTCTGCAGTCTTATCAAAATCTTATTGTGAACTGGATAAGAATTCTAACAGTGAATATCACTTCGGGTAGTTACTCGTAATTGGTAAATTCATTTGTGAAGGAACGAGGCTGCACGCGCTCAGTATCATCTCTTTCTAATAAAGAACTTGAATAAAAGACATCCCGAATTTCCAATCTCGAAAATTTAAGTTTATATTTGAACGAAAAATTATTCTTTTGTATCATAAAGAAAAAAAATTTGTGTCAACGAAATATGTTTTCATGTTCGAGACTGTTATTTAATCAATTTACCTTGTAAACATTGCACAGTGGTTGGAAATTTCAGGTAGGACCATTCTGGACTCTAAAAGTTTCAAAAGATCATTTTAAATAAACTTTCTTCATGAAACTTACATGTTGATTTACAACTGATTCACTTGTATAAAAAGCTATACAAAAAAAAACGCTTTTTCCTATGTCATAAATATAAAAATCTTTTCTTTACCAACAGTAGTTTCATTTCGATGTAAGGTAAAATGAACAGTAAAATTAAATTCATTTACTGTTAAATTATGAAGACCTAAAGCAGTTATACGTCGCAGTCGTTTCTAAAATGAATAAATATCCATTTAAAAATCTATTCATTCATTAACTCACTTTAAGGAATGGTATAGAAATTAATGGGCTTTTTTTTGTACTAGAAAATGACATTGTAACATAAAATTAATCGTCATTAAATAAGTAATCTTTGAATAAATAAATAAATAAATTAGAATTTATTATATAAAAAGCAAAAGCTGGACCATTATTATATTATATTTTCACAAAAATAAAATAAGTATAATCATACGTTAAAAAAAATATAAAATTTTTTTAAGCACTTATTACTCCTCGACAACAACTTTTGATTGCATTTCTAAATAAGTACGTATCATCAATCAATATATTATAAATAAAAAACAAAAGCTTTTTACCGCGCAAATGGAATGTAGCTAAGTGTATACCACAGCTAAAATAGAATAATAATAAATATTTCAATTATTTTGAATTCTATTTACTAGAGCAAGGAATTGTAGAATAATAAATAAAAGAACAAGAGCAGCTATTTTTATCTAAAGAAATGAAATAAATAATAATGAATTCATTTTTTTTTCTACGTTTTTAACTTACGGCAATAGCTGATACAAGTGTCATGATAACACATACCTATAAATGGCAATAAGACATTTTCTTTAATAATAAAATGGTTCCGAAAAATAAAAATTTACAAGAAAAATAATTGTAGCAATACATCGAGAAGGATCAAACATTTTCTTTAATTGATTCATTGGCCCCATTAAAAACAGTGTACTAAAAGAAAACTAATAAAAATAAGATTTATCTTCATGAACTTACGATGCAAGACCAAAAATAACTGCAAAACTATAAAGAACGGCAAAACCAGAGATATTACCACTAAGAAAATAGATAACAACCGCCTAGAATATATCAAAATCAACCAATGCATAATCTCGAAAATATCAATCGAATATTTTCTTGAAAATCATCCACACCCAGTTTCTATATTTTTTACTACCAAGAATTTTTATCTTATATCCATGTGATTCAAACCAAACAAAAACCGCCGGTAGGACTGTCCGGTATTTGTTGGTAGTGATAACAAACTGCTAGTATCAACAACAATCAACTGAGAATCTTATGAAACTTTCAATAATAAATTCAAGTTCTTTTTGTTATTGACAATAACTTACGACAATGCCAAGTATCAAAGCAATAAGTAAACATATGCCAAAACCTTTTAAACGTGTATTCCATGATAAACCGAGTGCCTATAAAACAACACACACACATTCACAAAAGGAAATTTTTATCAATAAAATTAAAACATATTAGCAATCGAAAAACAAATAATGATTTTTATCAATCGAGCATGTGCAATTAAGCATCATTCTCACCTCCGGCATAATAATTGTGTTATTAAAAAGCATTGTATTTTGCCCATGTTAGTGTTAGTCAACCATATTTTATACATTTACGATCAAAGAAGAGAAAACAAGAAGAAAACATATTCTCAAAAGAAGAAAATATATAAATTTGCGAGAAACATCTAAAGAGTACATATATTTATTTCTTTATTTTATTTTTTAGAACCCACCTGTGGTGTAATTGATACATCCTCAGTGGCAGCATATCGTCCACTGATAGTAAATAACTGTTTCATGTTTTTTTTTTAAATATATATATAAACAAAAAAATCTAAAAGAAAAATTATAATAAATCCCATCTCCATATTATTAACATCACCAATGAAACTTATAAAATTAACAACCAGTATTGCACAAAAAAAAAAGAAAAGAAAATCAAAAGTTTTATTAAGTTTTAATTTGTTGTCAGTTCTGTTTTTCGAAGAGCATCAAGAACAACATCCATATCATCTTAAAAAGAAATAATAGATACTAAGAAAAACAAAGAATTACATTTCTTACTTCTTAATGTTCGAACCATATTCTCAATTTGAACTTTACCATTAATAACTTCAATTGTTTGTGTATATGGATTATAATGCACACTAAATGGACGTGGAATAGTCAATGCATATTGTCTAAAACATTAAAAAAATCAAAGTATTTTATTTATTTATTTTTATTAATCATACCTTAGTTTTTCTTTTGCATCTTTAAAACTTTCAGCTAAGAAATATGTAGGTTGATAACTTGTTATTGGATATGGCTGAATCGAAGCACGAAATGGATCAAATGGCATAATTGATGGTTTGTCAGAGATACAATACTTAATGAAGAAAAAAAAAACAAAAAGAAAATTATTAAATGAAACAATACAATAAATTTACTTGTAATTCACCAAATGATGATAAAAGACCTGCTCCATAAGCTTTTCGTTCATCACTTTCCATACACAAACCAAATTCAACAGTGAACCAATACAATGTTGCTAAAAAAAGCAAATAATACAAATTATATAGAATATTTTCAATTGAATTAATTATCATTGCGTAATGTTAAACAACAGAACAAGAAATTGAAATTGAAATTCATATTTTAGGGATTTTTTCAAATGTCTTAAAAATTAGTTAAATGACTTTTAGTACTTTCATGCTAAAAACAAAAAAGAGTCATTAAATCATTATTTCCATTTTCTATATTTTACAACATTCGAAATCTTTATTTCAGAAAAAGAAACAGTAAGAGAACTTGACGATATCGTCTAAATCAAATAATGCGCACCTTTCAGAAGTAGTAGTTCAAAAGGTTTTAATAGATATGCATCACTTTCCTTTTTTGTCTTTAACAAGTTTTAGAAAATTTCTCTTACGAGGTAAGTATCCAAACTGATACCCGCCGTTTAAACTCATATTAGGTTCATAAGCAGATGTCGGTAAGAAACTTGGTATTCTGAAAGTCTCAACCGAGCAGAATGTTCCTTTGTTAAGATATTCAAGTTTTAAGTAAATTTGACTTTTATAGGAAAGAACCATTTTTTTAGAAATACCGTATCTTAACAAAGAAACAGTCCTTTCGATTGAAAATTTCAGAGTATTCTACTAGTTATTTGACTCATTTACGGGGAAAGCTTTATACTTAAATGCCGTTATTTGATTTTTTCGTAAATATCTAAAGCTCGATCGAAAATTCAATAAAATAGTCATAACGAGGCTTCAAAGATTCATAGGCACGAGCCATTTTCAAAATTTTCTAATCTCACCGAGATCTTCGTGTGAATCTAGCATCAGCTCAAACCGTAGGTACCACTTCGAGTATTTCCTCGTCGGCCAGGATACAGAGTACGGAAAAATTTATTTGACGTATTTTTACATGCAAGAATAATGAATAATAGAAATATTTTTATATTCTTTCTTCCCATTACTCATTACTATATATGAACATATTTGAGATGAAAGTTTTTCTTCATAAACCAGTCTTCATCGATTGATCTAATATTAATTCTCCGGAAAACTAATCAAGGAAATAGATAGTCATCTATACCTAGACGAGTTATATATTCATCTGGTGCGCCTAAACTAGCCAGGCCAATTTCTTGACTGAATTCTGCAAAATCTGGATCAGCAAAAAGTGGTACATGACCAAGTAATTCATGACAAACATCAGGTTCAGGTGTATACATTGGTACACTATGATGACGTATATATTGTGTTGAATGAAATACACGAAAAGCTAGACCAGCAAGAAAATCTCGTGATGATAAAAGGCCTAAATGAAATTCATTACTATAATATATTAATATCAAATACTCAACAAACCAGCTACTGGTCGAAGTCGAAAACCTGAACAATCTTGAAGAAATTGTGATACATCTTCTAATTGTGGTATATTTGTTTCATTATAACCACAATTATCAATAAGTAATGGAAAAACATTATTAAATTCTTTGCATGCATGTGTTGGATAAAGTTGTATTAATTCATGAAACACAGTTGCCCATGTCGAAATTTCTTGTTCAGTATATGTAACACGTGGTATTGGTTGGCTGTGACGATATTGGTGAGCTATATCAGCAAATTCTTTTCGACGTTTTCGATAGAGTACATCACGAAAGCCAGGATGATCAGAATCTAATTCTGATCCATATGAAAGTACACGATTAGCAAATTGATCTAAATCGCGTATTTTTCTTGGAAACCAAGGCACTAAAATTATTATTTAATTTAAGATTGAAATTTTCTAAAAAAAAAACAAACCAGATTCTTCTAATGTTTTATGAGCACGTGAAAGTATATGAATATATTTCGATTCTTCACGTAATTGTTTAATAGCATCAGCTAAACTACCCATACTATTATCACATTCAACATAAAATTCATGATCAGTTTTATTTTGACGAGATAAACGAGATTCAATATGAAGTAAATTGATACCATGTTTCTACAAGGGAAAAACAAACATTTGTTTTTAGTTTTTCTGAAAAAAATTGAAATTCGTTTAAGATAAAATCACATTAAGAGTTTTTTTTCAATTTATGTTAGTTGTGATAACAAAGAGGAAAAAGTAATACAGAATTCGTAATTTAGAAATCAAACTTTAATTAAATATTGTAAGTTCATATAAATAACTAAATGGATGATTAAGATAACGAGTGAAATCAATAAAGCATTTTCTTACTTCAAATACATGAAGTGCTTTTGCTAAAGCACCAACTTCTTCTTGAAGTGAAAATATCAATGATGTTTTTGTTGAACTGTCTTCAATCTAACAAAATTAAATATTGATATTTGTTATGGAATTAAATGACAAAATTTGAAGAAAAGAACCTCTGTCGAAGCAAATTTACCAGTCATATCACTTCTATTGGCTTCCGTTATGATCTTATCAGCACCAGCCTTAATATCAAAGAAAAGGTAACCAATACGAAATTCATTGTATTTATAAAAATTACTACAAACCTCAGAGAAAGTGCTCATATTAAATAATCAAAATCGACTATATATTAATAATTTACTCTATCAGTTGAATGGGAAGTATCGATGCAAAAATGTAATTATTATAAGAGACGAATATATTTATTTCTTCATACTGGCATCAGCAGGATATAAATGACAGTGACCAGAGTATTATTTAAAAAAAATCAATAATTCTCTTTCAAGGAAACTGAAAAAAAACCTAACATAGATCCAAAAAGAATGCGTAACAGCTGTTTACAATTGATCATTATGTGAAAATATTTCATTTCTAATTGAGTGATTCAAAATAGATTTTACGTCTTTTGAGATTTAATAAGGAAAAAAAGATAATAATTTAATTTCATATTATTTCAGTATATTTTTTTGATGTTTAAATTACATTTTAATTCTGTGAATTGTTTAAGTTGCAATAAAATTTTTGTTTTGATAATTTTCTTCATATTCAAAATGTAGATTATTTTGTCAAGAAATCCATTGTTAAATTTTTCATTTGCTGTAATCTATATAATTATCATTAAATTGATGTATTAAGAACAGTTAAATTTATATTTGAATCAAGATTTTTGAATAGTTTTTATATAATTATAAACTGTATAAAAAGTTTCAACATTGATTAATGACAATAATCGAAATTTTTGTCTAAAAATACTACATCAAATTAAATTTCATTTTCAATAAAATAGCAGTTTTTAAAGTATTCATTTATATTAAATATAAGAAAAAAACACTCGTATCTTTCATGTTAATTACTAGAAAAAAATGATGGTTAATAAGTAGAGAAGGACTACAGATAGATGTCAATATCAATTAAGTGAAATAATTACAAACTTCTATACGTTTGAAGCAGTGATCAGTGGAAATATTTGCTTCTACTGATATCTATATGTCAAAACCTGATCCAATAACAGAAATCCCGTAACTGTTTAATGGGTTTTTTTTCCTCAAATTTTACATTGTGGTATATAATTCATTGCGTCAATACCGAATATGTAGACCCTAATATTCTATATCTATCATATATTAATAGATGGAATGGTTTATTTTACACACGCTGTAACTTCAGCTTTTAATATGAATTGAAATTCTGTGATGCAAAACTTAATATCAATTATATCTTTATTATTCCTAGATAAAGAAAATTAATTTTACAAAAAGCACTTTGCTATAATTAATTTCTTTCAGGCTTATGATGTATGCAAGAAGTTAAAACTTTTTTGAAAAAAAAAACATATTTTTGTTTCATATATTGTCTATCAGTATGAGTTAGACTGGTTAGAAATGGAATTTGATGAAAAATATTATTGAAAGATAGGGATTTACCGATCCTGTATTTCAAATTATGGAAGATTGAGACGGCAAGCAACTAATCAATAGCTTTTTCATCGAACGATAATGGATTATATTTTATCGACTAAGCTGATTTTCAGATTAGCAAACATTATACCAAAGTTGCTTCGATCGATTCAGACTATTGAGTCTTTCAAAAAAAAAAAAGGACGATCTTAACATCATAAAAATAACTAATACCAGATGTACGAAATTCAACGATTTAGGACATAAATTAAAAATACATGTTGATCATATTTCAATTGTCTACTTGGTCTACATTCCTCTTTCACATAAATATGTGAGAGAATAATGAAATAGAATATAGATTATTGAAAACGAGATTTTTGACAAAGGCTCGTGCGCTATATCTTTAAAATAGTATATCCAGAAAATTTTGATCAGTTTTGAAAAAATAGTTCGATATTGTTCATTCACAATATTAATGATCTTGAGAT